TGGTTAAACTCTTAATTATATGCAATAAGAACGTAATGATATGATTAAGAATACATGATAATTCATTAGAAACACCAATTAATCAAATAGCTTGCTTAATTTGACACTAAAAAATAAGGAAACCCATCTTTAATTTGACACTAAAAAATAAGGAAACCCATCTTTAATTTGACACTAAAAAATAAGGAAACCCATCTTTAATTTGACACTAAAAAATAAGGAAACCCATCTTTAATTTGACACTAAAATATCTGCTTTAGGGAGTTCAGATTGTATTACAGACAAAAACCGACCAAGTACCTTTAAATCTGTTGATAAGGTGGGGTGAAACGCTTCTGTAAAACTCAGCCAACATTTCATGACGAGTGGCCATGATAGCATCGAGACATTTGGCAGCGGCTCGTCGAACTTTCCAGCTTATATCGTCATCATCACTGTATTCTTCTTCTGATCCACTGAAAATACACCCACATCGAGTTTTACACCCTGATTATAGGGCAATTTATTGGTCTGATGGTCTTTTGGGGCTAATGAAATGAATTTTATACCCTACTGTTTTCTGTTTTATCAAATGAAATTAAATGGAAATCGCCCTTCTTATTTTCTACCTTATTTGACTAATGAAACATTAAAGGGGCATTCTGCTTTTTTGTAAAATGTTTTCATTTTCCAAAGCGTTGTAAATTATACCTGAAAATATTTCTAAAGTATGTTATTTATATCTATGTATCTTCTTGATCAAACTGAATTTGTTTTAAAAGGGTTAATTAAAAACAGAGAGTACTAATTGTTAATTAAACAGTTTGACCTAGTTTCAGTGTTTGGTTTTATAATGGCTTGATATTATTAGTTAAAATCTTTAGAATACGTAGGAGATATATTTCTCTACAATTAAGCGTTTATTTTCCTCAAATCCGTACAGTAGTTTTCTAACAGCTTTCAAAAAACATAACAAACTTAAAAACCTTACGTAATGTTTTTAAATATTTTTGGCGCTAGAAAATTAACGAGTGGATTTTTTAAGTTAAAACTTTCAGATATATTAAAGGGCACATTTCTCTAGATTTTTGTGTCTAGTTTTCACAAATTTCAGCAAACGAATTTTTTGACCTACAAAAAAAGTGGAATGTCCCTTTAAGAATGACTTACTCTTCATCATCTTCATCATTCTCTGTATCCATCATTTCTTCATCACCATCATCATCATCATCATAGTTATAATTAGGATCGTGGCACAGGTACTTTAAACATATACTGATAATCTACAGTAGACAAGGGCAACAACTCATCATATAACTCAAATGATTCCAAAAGATTTACTAAAATCAAAGGAGCAATGCCATATACCAGAT